TTCCACCAGCAGCTCCATATTTCGAAGGAATATGGGAGGCAGGTGTAAAATCTATGAAGCACCATCTCAAGAGAGTGATTGGAGACTGCACTTTGACCTATGAAGAATTAACAACGTTGGTGTATCAAATCGGAGCATGTTTGAACTCAAGACCACTCTACCCGCTACCAGAAGATACAGATTATTTCAATATCTTGACCCCAGGACCAAACTTAGAATCGGCAGAACATTTTAACCTATCTCAACGATGAAGACAGGTGCAAAAGTTAAAGAAAAACATTTGGAGCGCATGGTGCACAGAATACCTCACCAGAGTGCAACAAAGCTACAAATGGAATAATCAGACCGACAATCTACGAGTAGAAACAATGGTCCTAATCAGAGAAGAAAATATAAACCCAAACCAATGGTCTTTGGGGAGAATTATAGAAACTCACGAGGGACAAGATGGAGCAATCCTAGTGGTAACAATAAAGGAAGCAGGTGGGTCACCACAAAAAAGACCGATCCACAAGGTAATCCCATTACCAACAGAAAACATACACCATTTACCAACCACCCAAAACCACTCAGAGGTACGGAGATCAGACCGACTACGGAACGTAGCATCAACATCAGCAAAATCATATGTATTGTTTTTCCTAGCAGCAATAATTATGTTATGCCGCTGCAGAAATAGGGCTTAAAATCAACTATCCACAACATGGTTTTTACGTTGAACACCTTAGATCAGCAGAGACAACGTATCCTAAGAACAAAACTGAAACGGAATTATCAGAGGTATCCACAGTCGTCAACTAATTAAAAAATATGTGCAACGAATCCAAAAAGCTCACCGATGAAGTCAAATGCACATCCCTCGTACAACATTTAGAAGAAATGGAAAATCACTCCAAATGGATGTTTGCGACCATGACCGACATTCACCACAGAACTAAGAGAGGACTATTTGGAAAATTTTTGACTGCGGTTTTTGGAGTGAATGACGAAGTAAATCAAGATATCGAGGCAATAAACAACAATTAGGAAGAAGGAAGAGCATCGAACTACCAAACAAAGTTGATGATCTCGGCCCTCACAAAATTCAACGAAACAGAAACAGAAGCCAGAATCACGAACAAACTACAAGATTTCCAGACACGACTTAACGAAGGAATAGAAACTCTCAACAGCATGCAGAGTTGGTACAAGCAAATAGACACTAATGCCATTAACATTCACCTATTGAGTGCATACCAAGTAGCTATCAACTTCATCAGCGAAACCAGTGAGCACTATGATAAATTACTGAACATCAACTTCAACAGGGGTACGATATATGACCAAGTTTCACCAGCATATATCAACGCAGTTATTCGAAAATCCAATCGAAAGCTCCCAAACAATCTAAAGATTCTTTCGGCAGCAGTGTCCACAAGATTAATCACCAACAACAAGCAGCTCAAGGTGTGTGGATATTTTCCAGTAGTTGACGTGACGGAATTCACCCTATTGAAGGCAACACCGATTCCACTCAGAATTGAGAATGAAACATACTGGGCGTTGGACCTTCACGATGATTACACCGCCGTCGACTACAACAGTCAAACATACTTTCAGCTTCATGAAAGCGACCTCTAACAGTGCATGCAGCCCTCCCCACACCAGCTCATCTGTTCTCCAGTTTCTGTTAGAAACATTGAATCTAATCTGTCCTGCGTCAACGACGAAATTTATGAACGACCGCAACCCAGACCTTGCCACATACAACAGCACAGGCTAAAAGGCATCCTCTGAAAACGACTATGTACAACGAATACATGGATGTTCATCGCAGGTTCGTCTACAAGAGTAGCGGTTATATGCAACGGCGAGCGGAAAGATGTAGGAATAAATACAATGGGAATAATTCAAATTTCTCAAGACTGCACCATCCAGATAAAACAGAACATTCTAACTCCCATAAGAAGCGCAATCGTTCTAGTGGTAGGCAGCTATGTAAAAGCTGTACCCTTAATCTTCAATTATACTCTCCACAAACATCCACCGTCAGATATAGCTACCGAGTCCGTGTTTAGAGAATCCGATAGATTTGGAGACCTAGGTGATCGACTTCATAACAAAGTATGGCGCAGTTATAGCAGCATCACCACCATAGTCATCATTATACTAGTGATTGAAGGATGACAGACAACAAAACTTATCAACAGAAGACGTTAAAAGCAGACAAGAGACCAACACCTAGACCAAAACGAAGACATAGAGCTAATGCAAGCAAAACATTCTTCCATTTTAGTCAGTCACAATGTTTGGGTATTATAAAAATATCCAAACATCGTAAGTTGCATTCCAGCATGCATTAAGTAATTACGATCACAGTGTTTTATATTTTTGTATTTTTTGTCACGATTAGTTTACCAAAATCTAATATAAAAAGGGTGATTCGAAATAAATCAGTATTCATCTAGCTTCAAAAGGTGTTTTACTCAAATCGTTTCCTGTGCCCAAGCCTTCTGAAAACGATACAATCGTCCCGCTGCTCAACCAAGCCGAGTTGAGCAAGCGTAATCTGCGAGAGCAGCTTGCAAAAAGATTGACATTGATAAATAAATAAATAATTCACCCATGAAAAATACCCGATGCTTTTCAATAGCTGAAAAAGTGGAGATGAGTGTCAACTTCCAGGAGAAAAGAAAAGAACCTTCCGTGTTTACTTTTTGTCTGGCAATCGAGAGAATAAAAGGTTTTGTTGTGAGAATAAGGCTGAAAAATCGCCAGACGGTAATCACAGTTCGAAATCGAGTTTTCCGGCGAAACAGTCTGTGGACATTTCGAACAGGGGGCAGGCATTAAAACCACTTATATTCTCATCAGCTTACTAACCACATTCGGCCCGCAAAATGCCAGACCAAAAAAAATGACTCCACTAAACAGGCCCTATCTCAGGGTCTATAACGGCTCGTTCGACAAGCAACAAAGTTTCATACCAGTCGAAAATTTTGCTGACAAATTTTTTTCTCTTGTGGCATTATACATAAAATCTGTTTTTTTTTAAAGATAAAAGTCAAAATGACATTATGTTGGCAATACAATATAAAATTGTCTTGCTCTCAAATTTTTTATGTAGAAAAGGCTTGTGTTGCCAACATAGTTACTAAATTTTTGACTTGGGGAATTATCTTTAAAAAAATAAACAGACTTTATACATTATACATATTACGGTTGTGGGGCACGAGAAACTTCCCACTCAGGTGATTATACAGGGCTTTCATTTCAAAACTTGCCACCCACGTTATCTGCGTAAAGAGGCATATTTGCGGAAAACGCCGAAACACGTCAACAAATTTATTGAGGGGGAAGGTTTTTTACGTAAAACTGGACTTCGCCCCTTCAACCCCCTAAGCCCTAGGGCTACCTCCCCAAAATTTTCAAATGAGACAGGGGGTCGAGTGATAGATTATTTTGAAGGGCTGTTCAATCTGTATATTTTGCCGTCTTACTTTTCAAGTTTGACCTCAGTGTTGCAGAAACACACTCCATTTCAATGTTTAAAAATGCCTATTTATCCTTAAACACACCTGTTTAATTACCTGTTAAGGTAGGTAAAGAAGCAGGTGTGTTTAAAATTAAATAGGCATTTTTAAACATTGAAATGGGTGTTATTCTGTAACACTGAGGTTAAATTCAAAAAATAGAACGGCAAAATGTACAGATTAAAAAGCCCTGTAAAATAATCTATATTTCGATCTCCTGTCTCATTTGAAAATTTTGGGGAGGTAGGCCTAGGGCTTAGGGGGTTGAAGGGGTGAAGTCCAGTTTTACGTAAAAAACCTTCCCCCTCAATAAATTTCATGACGTGTTTCAGCGATTTCCGCAAATATGCCTCTTTACACAGATAACGTAGGTCGGAAGTTTTGAAATGAAAGCCCTGTATGTGTTATTATATTATCACCCATTGACATATTAACACAGGTAGACATTACAGTAAACAAAATGTTGTGTCGTAAACATCTAGGAGGGCAATCCATCGCCGGTGTATCCCCTCCAATTTGGTTGCCAAAATGGTCGCGTTCCTAAGCACTCAACATGTTGAGTGATTACTAAGCGGCTTTGTTCCAGCTAGTGAAATGCACAAGGTAGAAAAGTTTTGATTGGCCTAGAGCCGATTTTCATCTGTTTTCAACATAACCGCTGACTAATCACTCAACATGTTGAGTCCTTAGGAACGCAACCATTGTTACGGGTTGATATTTTATCCTGTTATGATTTTTCTTCAACAAGTTGGAGCTTCAAGATTGAAAACGACCACTGGTAACGCCTGTTTTGTGAAACAGGCGGAACACGCGCTGCAATCGAATGGCACGTCAACGCACCCATCGAGCTTATATCATATCATATGAGTTAGAGGCAGATAGATAGATGAACAAGTTGCACCCGTGCGCATTTCTTCATTATTTTCGTCAAGTGAATGACGGGTTCAGAGGGGAAGGCGGCTGTTGTTTACACCACTGATGCATCCCTACCATTGAATCCCTACCCTTACCCCTCTCGAGCAGCCCACCTCTCCTGGCCCATGAAGGTCTTGGCATACAACAAACATCAGTTTATGAATGAGATGCGGTGTCTAGCTGTGTTAAGATGGCATTGGAATCACCTAACAACTGAGAGAAACTGGGTGGGAGGTTTTTCGTACCTCACACTGTATGACAAAACTTCTAAATGGAGAAAACTCCTACCTTGTGTTAGCTGGACAAAACCAACATGATAGTTTTTCAGCGACAAACCTTTCATAGTTAAAAACAGGAAAAACCATAACCCGCTGGTGTCGTTCATTTTATGATTATTTGACACTTTTTTTCATCTTACGATTTTATGATCTTACGAAATTAGTACTGATGATGGCAGAGTGCCAAAAGCACTTTGCCAGACAAAAATTGAATAAACGCATTGCACGAAATGAAAAAATAATAATTCCTCAGGACACACAGCCCTTGAAAGCATCACAATTACAAGTTCCTTACCCCATCCAGAGAGTGTAGCATAAGCATTTGCAAAATCACTTGCATTTCCGGGAGCCAATGGAATAATTTCAACCGAAGGATTATCAGCTACGCTATCAATTTTGATGATTGCAACGTCATTGGTTCTGGTGGTAATATTCCATGCAGGATGTATATAATAAAGTTTGGAGACTATTACTTGATGGGTGACGAGTTTATCAGTGATTGTGTGAGAGCCGAGGATCACTTGGAATTCATCAACACTATTTTAAAAATTTATTTAGTTATTTCAATATTTTAGAAATAAAATGAACGTACTTTTCAGCACAATGAGCAGCAGTCAAGACGTAATTGTGTCTGATCAAGGAACCACCGCATATATTACGATTATCCATTACCAAGCCCGCTTGGTAGCGAAGAGTACCTGGTTCAGCATCACGGCCGTTAATGATTCTGAGAGCAGGTTGATCGTTGCGATATTTTTCTGGAAGTGGAACTTCAATGTGGCGTGGTGTCAAACGGGAGATAATATCGATCTAGAACAAAAATAGACAAATCCATGGATAATGTCAAATTGGAGTTACATAAATAGTTATTTGTTTTACTAGGCAGAAAAGTACAAGATTTGATGCCGCGGCTGGTGTTTCATAGCCGAGGCTAGGAAACCAGCCGAGGCATTAAATCTGCTTTTCTGCCATGTAAAACATATACTTTTTTCACCAATCGTCAAAAAAACGTCACTTTGTTAAGACCTGTCAAGATGTCAGAACCTTCATTTCTATGCTGCTAGACAAATCCAGCGGGTTAACACCTGTCGAGGTGGTAGAAATTCAATTTCTATGCTGCTAGGCAACCGCAGCGGCAGTAGAAATACTTTTAGTGCCGCTCGTACTTTTACTGCCGCTCAACCATTCACTTACCCCCGAGCTTACCCAATTCGTTTGGAGAAAAAATAGCGTGTTGAATACGGAGTAGAAGCACTGTTTTGTGCTTCAGCCTACTCCTAATACAACAATATACTATTTTCTCCGAATGTTCAAATTCACACATGGTCATCTTTTTTATATTTATTTCATTCATTATTATTATCCAAATAATTAAATTATTTTGACAATTATTGTCATTGTCACCATCAATTTCAAATACCAAATTGAGTGAAATTATTACCTGGAACGTTGTGACACTGTCACTTTTAATACCTAGGCAGTAAAAGTCCACTTTTACTGCCTAGGCAGTAAAAATACAACTTTTGATCCTGTCAAGTGTCATTAAAAGGCCGCTTTTACTGTCATTCGGAGAAAAAAATAATTGGACAATAAAAGGCTAGAGGTGAGGAGTCCTATCGACGAACGCTGGAAACGGGCCGAAATTTGAGTTCTAATAATTTTTGCGAGAAATCCACGCAGAGAAGAGAGCGAGGAAATTAAGAAATGCATGGTAGAGGTATGTCGGTTGTTGCGTCTATGGTTGTTGCCCTATGGTTTATAAGAACTATATAGTTCTTTCCGAGTAAGTTATTGTTTTACAATTTTACCATAAAAATTTTTGATTTGTTGGTAACTATTTTATATATCTTGACTCATTTATTAGTACCTTCGTTGTAATTTTGAAGTTTGCCTTTCAGGGTTTGAGAAACTACCAATTAAAGTACGGAGCGTCACCGAGTGAAAATTGAGTTTTCTTGCCAGGTCCTATTATAACCCACATCAAATCTATCTAATATATTACTTCATCAATTTCACTCTGGGAAATGGCACATTACATCACTATCGTCCGGTAAAGTTCCATTGCCCGACTTGAAAAAATTATCGTATAAGCGTCAACCTCACCTGCTCGTGCGACGACTACGTGCACCCTGCGCTGGATTACAAACAAGGCTCTGGCGACCGAGTCACGGCGGTATAACCGTTTTAACGGAATCAAGGAAATGTGATTCCCTAGCCCACACGCCAACACTTTCGGCAAGCGGGGCGTTTTAATTGCCAAATCTTCCTATTTTTATTCTAGATATGCTGAAGTTTAAAACGAAGGATGGTCCCCATGTGAGTAGAGCCAAGAGCTCTAAATCTCACACTTTAACCACAGTCAGCTCCATGGAATCTGGAGGGAGCAAAAATTCAGCTAAATCCTGGAAAAACAAACCTTTATTCATTGTAACGTATAATATCCGAACTACGAGAACCGTTGAACACTGTAACCCCTTTTGTTAATGAATTAACTAGGGGCCCATAATATGCTCAGTTAGCTCAGCAAATAATCAGGTGTGGGTCAATTGTGTATACAGCCTGGTTTGGACGCCACTGAATATTTTATGTAAAAAAAAATTAAATTTGAATTAGGTGGAATATCAAAATGCTAAAAGCTAAAATTCAGAAAAACATTCTAAAAATAAAATTGAATAATAAAGATAGGTATTTAAGGCCGCGTTAATGGCCGCCATGTTTAAATTTAGTTTTTGAAAATGACGACTGCGTCACTCTACACATAGCGTTCAATATTTTATTATTTGTCCAAATAAAATCTGTTTATCGGTGAAACACTTAGTGACAGAGAAAGACAAATATACAATTATGATGCTCCCAATGTAGCTTTTTTGCTGTAGCGACATGTTCTTGAAATTGCTTGAACTGTTTTCACCTTCAAAATTCGCTTTAAGGTCATCTCAAAAAATCCGCAATAATTTCCAAAATCCTTTGACATAAACATTATTTGATATATTATCTACAATCTCTACAATTAGCTTTTTTTAGTTTTTCGTGGTTATCAATAAAATATGGTTTTCACGGATCCAAGCTTGATATACATGCAAATATGCAACCACCAACACATTTAATTGTTTTGGTGGTTGCGAACATGATTTTTGAATTTAAAAAAAAGGCTGAATATCGAAAAACCAAAATAAGGAATTGAAGATAATCGATCAAATAATGTTTATGCCAAATTTGAGCCAATTCTGATGTGCCGTTTTTTTAAAGACCTAAAAACAAGTTTCGAAAAATCAACCAATCACATGGCGGCCACTAACGCGGCCTTGAACTTTTTAGATAATAATCCTGAAAAATAAAATAATATACCACTATAACTCAATCAACTCGGTACCCAAGTTATACCAAAAAAAACTCTAAATAAAATGTTTTAATCAAGCAATGTTCAATTAATTCAAAGTGATTCTGAAATCCATATAAAAAAAATATTGACTCAATAAGAAAATATCAAGCCAATAGCAACATTCCAGTAAGTATGAGTTTTTAGTTAATAATAGCCAGATTAATTAATTGTAAAATTAAAATTGACAATAAAAGCCTTGGCTTCAAAAAAAATATTACCAATTTAAGCGAAAACAGATTTTCAAATTAAATATTTAACTGGAATCAAATACCACTCAATTTATGAATCCTAAAAACACCTAATATGTTACAGTAGAGAGTAAAAAAAAAAAATAATTATATTGTAACAGGGTAAAAAATTGATCAATTTTCTATGGCCTCGTTTTACATGATAGCTTACACATACTTCAGGGTTCCCAGGGAAACATGTACAATAAGTGGCATTACTAGAAGTCAATTTAAGAAATAAAAGTGAAATATTGAAAATGTAATAATTAAATTGAATGCACCCACTTCATTGTCAATAATGACGTACAAATTTTCAGTTGACCCTTTGTTTCGACGCCATATTGCGGTGCGCGAACATAGTAGCTAAAACAAGAAAACCAAAAATTACTAGCAGGTTGTCAATTAGATATTTTATTATTTCTATTCTGCCCAATACAAGCTAAAATTGATGGCTTTTCATTCCAAAAACATTCGTAATAGGCGGCAAATTTAAATTTTAAATGTAATTTATTCAGTAACTTTTGTTTTTAATGTTGACAGTACGCTAGTTATTTTTTTTCTTCTACTTTTGGCAACTATGTTCGCGCACCGCAATATGGCGTCCAAACAAAAGGTCTGACCTATATATGTCTATCTCTGATGTCTATGTTTCAAACGCATTTTTAATCAATAAGAACATTAAACACCTAGTTACAAACAGTATCTGACCGTATTATCTACATTACTTTAGAACTTAATAAAAGATACACTCTACAAATAATTCACATCTACGCACCTACTAGCTCGTCAGAGGACGAAGAGGCAGAACAGGTATATGAAGATATATCTCAAGCGATAAAGATGGAAAAAACACAATTTCTAATCACCACCGGCGACTTTAATGCGAAATTGGGGCAAGAAACACAAAAGGACCCAGAAAACATAGGCAACTTTGGCATGGGAAACAGAAATGACCGAGGCGACATGTTAGACAACTTTCTAGCTAAGGAAAATCAGTACTGCCTTAACACCTTCTATCGTAAACCAATACGAAGAAAATGGACCTAGAGAAGCCCAGACGAAACGAAATAGATTTTATATTATCGAATAAAAAAACAGCATGTAGAGACATCTCGGTACTAAATAAGATACACAGTGGTAGCGATCATAGATTTGTTCGAACCCATTTTACCTGTGATCTGCAGAAAGAAAGAAATAAAACTGTGCAAAGACCCTTGTCTGCTACGGCACAGGAACTTGAAACTAACAAAGACAAACCAAAAAGAATTAGAAACCAGGCTACAACCCGTTAGCTCTGATACCAACCTAAGCATAAACCAAATAACCCAAAAAATAGAATCAGGTATTCGTAACAGCATAAAAAAGCTGTGCTCTATAAACAAAACCACAGCAAATAATTTACTATCAGCCAACACTTTAAATCTTATAAACAACAGAAGAAAGTTTCAAAGAGACACAGAGCAATACAAAGAATTGAATAAAAATATCAAGAAACACATACGAAAAGACATAAGAACTAAAAACACCAAACTGATACAGAATACTATTGAACAGAATGGCAATATGAAAGTGCTAAAGACAAAATTATCAAAAGGAAAAACACAATTAATACAAATAAAAAATGAAAACAACATAATCATGACAAAGAGAAAGGAAATAGCAAAAACTATCGAACAATTTTACACCACTCTTTATTAATCAACAATAAAAAGCCCAATGAAAAGACCCCAAAAAATATTAAATGTCGGCTCCGAAGATTTACCAGATATCACAAACCCAGAAATTGAAAAGGCACTAAAACAAATGAAAAACGGTAAGTGTCCTGGTGAAGATAGAATATCGACCGAAATGCTGAAGTTTGGTGGACCTGTATTGGAAGGATGAATTGTAAAACTCTTTAACAAATGTCTTTACGAGGGCAGAGTACCGGAATGCTGGCTCGAAGCAGAAGTTATACTGTTGTATAAAAAAGAAGACACAACCAACATAGAGAACTATAGGCCTACTAGTTTATTGTCGCACCTTTACAAGCTCTTCACACATGTTATACCCAACAGGTCAACATCAAAGTTGGACTCCTACCAATCTGTAGAACAGGCTGGTTTTCGGAAGGGTTTCTCTAAAATTGATCATTTACGGGCGGTTAGAACACTAATTGAAAAATCTGTGGAGTATAATGTGCCAATTCATACAGGTTTTAT